GTTATGACAGTTGTCACAATACAGTCTAACAAAATTGTTTCAAATGAAATTAAAGACAACTAAGGACTATTAGAGCCAGCTTATGGAAAAAATCAAACAAACTTTTTGGCCAACCCAATATTTTTAACCATGAGACAATGAACAGAAAACATATAGGAAAGTGATTTCTGGGGCGCCAGCTGTTTTGTGAAGATTATTTTAAACACAACTGATTTCATAATTAACTAAATTTTTACCATCTAGATTTGATTCATTGACTAAATGTTGATGATCTCTTTTTTTACTTGCTATAAGGCACTGTGCTAAGCTTTATAGATGAACAAGGTCTAATCATGTCTCTTAAGACTAATGGAGGAATTAAGCAAAGCACAGATCACACAACCAAACTGGCTAGAATTAGGTTCTTTAAAAAACCTCATTTGCGGCCCTGGCTGGTGTAGCTCAGTGGATTGAGCGCGGGCCTGTGAACCAGAGTATCGCGGTTCGATTCCCAGTCAGGGCACATGCCCAAGTTGCAGGCCAGTTCCCAGCAGGGGACACACGAGAGGCAACCATACATTGATATTTCTCTCCCTCTCTCTTTCCCTTCCCCTCTGAAGACAAATAAATAAAATCTTAAAAAAAAAAAAACAAAACCTCATTTGCGGCAGAAATTAGAAAGGTACTTATATAACAGACCTGTGAAATCACAAAAGGGTATTCAAAAAAAATAGAGCAATTTTCAGAAAGGCTGGTCCTTAACTAGCAATGCCTTGTCATAGTACCCCAATTTTAAAGGATTGCATAAGGCTGAACAATAATCTCTTACAGGCTAGGGTGAAAGGTTGGTGGGGTGTGGGGGCGACTTCTCTGTGAGTCTTCCCCAGTGCCACAGACATGCGTGAATGACTAAATATATGGCTGAGACATGCTGGGTCTGTTTGGGGATGGAGGAGTGGGCTGTGGCCAGTTTCTCAGGGGAGACAAAGGCCAGCAGCGGCCAGTTTCTTTGAGGAGAAAAAGCCCCCAAGTGCCCTCATCCATAGCCTTTTATTGGGTTGTGAGACACAGGAATACAGGGCAGCAAGGATCAAACAGTAGATAACATTTCAGAGATCTGAGGGCTTCAGAGTCTGAGTCAGTGTCAGGAAGAGAGTAGCAGAAACTTTGGGAGACACTCATTTCCTCTCAGACCCTTATTGTATGAATGAAAGCACTCAGCAGAGCAGATTTCATAGGTTTATCAGGAAGTCTTTTGTGATGCCAGATTTTTTCCCCAGGACACGCTCTAGCAAGGCAAGGAGCTGCACCTCTCCCCATCAGGTATTTAGGCTTAAGGGGATTAGAGCCAGGAAGCGCTTCTCCCAGAGAACATGGGGACTCAGGTTTTGACAAAGTGGGGGGGGGAGGCCAGGGGTGAGAGTCCATTGCTCTTTGTTGCAGGTCGTCCGTCCCCCCCCCCCCCCGCCAGTCCTTCCATGAAGGCCTCCCAGGTGATTGAGTCTGGATTAGGTTGCCCCCCGCTGTGAGGGGTCTTACCCATCATTGACTTCTGACAAAGTTCTGGGAAGGGAGAAGAACTGAGGCAACATTTGCTACCAGAGACAGGCTTTGTCTCCTGCGGCTGGCATTCCAAAGGTCGTCTCTTGCCCTTAGCCACAAGGGATAGAGATACAATTCCTAAAACTAGGCAGAGTGGTCTACTACAGTGGGGAAAGTGTTGGGAGATGTAAGTAAATACTGTTTCTTATGTGGTGATCAGACCCTTTTCCTGCCTGATCAAAGGACATGTCTTTTTTATTATAGGGTGGTTTGAGGTGACTCTATTGCTTTTGATTTGCTACTTCATAGATAGCCCTTTGTATCATGGTGAGAAGGTCAGAGGTTTTGCTGAGAGGAAGGGAGTGTTTTCCATATGGAATTTTTTGTGGAGACTTCTGGAATCTGACCCTTAAGGATGAACATGAGTTGGGCAAGAAGAACCTACAAAATAAGATTTCAAACTGGTTAGTTTTTCCTGAAGAAAAGAGCTGAACGGAGACTCATTTTTAAATGTGCAGGTAATACACAGCCCCCTTAGTTTTGTCCCTTAGACCACAGGTGTCCCGTTGATGCCCCTTCCATGGCTTTCTTTGTCACTAAGTGTCACTTGGTCATTCTTCCCGTGCCTCTTTTCCATCTTCTCCATTGCCTTGTATGAGTTTGCTAAGGCTGCCATAACAAAGTGCCACAGACAAGTACTTTGTCTTAAGAGAAATTTATTTTCTCACAGTTCTGGAGGCTAGAAGTCTCAGATTAAATGTCAGCAAAGTTGGTTTCTCCTGTGGCCTCTCTCTCCTTGGCTTGCACATGGTTGCCTTCTTGCAGAGTCTTTAACATGGTCTTTCCTCTGTGTTTTCATATCCCTGGTGTCTTCTCTGACAATATTCATTTTCTTGAAAGGACAATATATTGAATTATGACCCATGTTAATGGCCTTATTTTAACTTAATCACAGCTTTTAATTTCTGCAAATATAGTCACATTCTGGTATTACTGGGGGTTAGGGCTTAAGCATAATTTGGGGGTTCAGCAAATAACAGACTTCATGACAGGGCATGTTTGTTATTTTTACTCTTTTGGTTCTGTGTCCCCGACTTTCCTTCACTTTCATCATGACTTTCACTTATACCTTGAGGCAGATTCTGAACCCATAGTTCACATCCAGGTCCACCTTCCTGGCAGCCTACTGCATGTCCTTTTTTTAAAAAAAATTTTTAAAGATTTTATTTATTTATCTTTAGAGGAGAAGGGAAGGAGAGAGGGAGAGAAATATCAATGTATGGTTGCCTCTTGTGCGTCCCTCACGGGGAACTGGGCTGCAACCCAGGCATGTGCCCTGACTGGGAATCGAACCTCGACCATGTGGTTCTCAGGCCTGCACTCAATCCACTGAGCTATACCAGCCAGGGCTACTGCATGTCCTTTTATAACCCTGAAAAGTGTCTCCAATCAAACACATACCTCCCCCTCCTACTTCCTCTCCTCTTCCCTCATTTAAAATTTTCTGATCATTATTATATTTTTATCTCTTGTCAGTAGCTAACCAATTACAATATCAGGTTAATTTTTTCACAAAAGTGGATTTTATACAGTCACCTTTTCATTTTCATCGCTGCTGTCCAGGTTATCTCCTCAAGCACAATCGTTGCAATAGCTTTGTAAGTAAATGCTCCCAGCTCTTGCCATCCCATCTCTCTTTTGGCACTCCTTATTATATATTATTTTTCAGATTCATTTTTCAAAAGTCCTATTTTGTGTCATTATTCTTAACCCAGTGGCTACCTACCATCTACAACGTAAACACCATATTTCTCAGTGGGCGTTTGAGGTTCTTTATCATCTGATTCCAAATTATTTTCCAAATGTATTTTTAACTCTTTGGCATTAATTCTCACTCTTTTTCCTTTATGGCATCTAATATCTGTCCCATAGCTTTGTTGGTGGTGTTGGCATTCTGGCATGCCTTCTCCTTGTGTATTTTTGTCTTCTTTCAAGTATTACCTGACATCTGAGACTGAGTTGAATTGAATTGAATCCCTACCTTTTCCATGATGGATGCCCCCTGTCAAATAAAACCCTCACTTCATCTCACATTGAAATCTCATTTCTTTGTGCTCTGGTCACATTTATGATGTTGGCCATGGTATAAATGTTCTGGCTGATTGATCCAGTCGTCAAGCAGGCATTATTGAATTCCACTCTGTGCTGGGCATTGTGCCTAGGTAGATGCTGAAGTCCCAAGAACATTCAAAATTTGGTTTCTCCTTTAGAGTTATCATGATGTTATGGCAAATGTAGATAGAACTGACCACTGTGCTGAAGCTTGCCAGGCTGAGCAAGAGTGGAAGCAAAACCTGAGCTCTGCCCTGCTGTCAGGGATGAGACATTTTAACTGAATTTTAAAGCTAAGGTAGAAGCTTCAGGTGGAGAATGAGTACAAAGCATTTATACAGAGAGAGCTAAACGTGCAAAAGACCTGGAGAAAGAGGCAGTAACAGAGTGGGAAGTGGGTTCGTGGCATGAAAGAAGAGTAGACAATTTGAAAAGATTATTATGTTTTATTTTTAGGAAAATAACTTTAAAAAATATTTTTATTTATTTTTAGACTGAGGGGAAGGGAAAGAGAAAGAGAGAGAAAAATACTGATATGAGAGAGAAATAATGATCCATTTCCTCTTCTCTGTGTCGACCAGGGACCGAGCCCACAATCCAGGCATGCGTCCTGACTGGCAATCGAATGGGCAACCTTTCACTTTTCAGGATAACATCCAACCAACTGAGCCACACTTGTTGGTGCAGGAAAATAACTCTTGATACAATGATAGATACTTGGGAAAGGGGTTATAACTTTGGATGGTGGCAAAGAAATGAATTAGGAGGTAATTGCCATGGAAACAAGCAGAAGAAATCAAAAGACCCTATATTACTTTACCTGTGTTCATGTGAGTGTACATTTAGTTTCCTCAACCAGGTTATAAACTTGGGAGCCACAATGTGTGTTATCTATTATCTTTATAATACTTATATTATTTCGTATATTAGCGTGTCCATAAAAAGTAATTAATGGATGCTAATGATATGGCTTAGGTACCATTAATCATCTTCCCACCAGACTTGAAATGTGTAAAAAGTAGTGCCTGGCTTATTGTAGACACCGAATATTTTGAACTCAATGAACTCTATGGTATGAATAATGAAGAGCTGACTGTAAAATGAGGAAAGAATAAAATATGTAAATATATGCAAAAGAATAAAATATGCATCAGTATTTTCATCCCTTGAGTGGTTAAAGGGGATGTTGTTGGTAAATGGACCAAAGCCTCACCCTGTGTGGTTCCTGTGCAGACAATGGAGAGCCTGGTGTGATTTGGGGAAATTCCTAAAATGAAGGGCAAAAGATGACAAGTGTTACTTAGGTGGTTTAAATGAGCGGGTCTTCTTCTGATTGATGTATTTCTCTTTGTTTCTGCTTCCTACAGATATTCTTTAATCCACTTTCATCATGGGAGAAACAGAACAGAGGCCAACTGCAGGATCACGACTGGGGGCCACAGAAAATTCGGGGATCAGTACCTTGGAACATGGACAGAGGCTGCCCCCACCACCTTCTGGAAAACTCATGTCCATCAAAATCCAGATGCTGGATGACACCCAGGAGGCATTTGAAGTTCCAGTAAGTTGGGGGTATATCTGTTAATTCAAGTGTGTGGGCAGCCTTCAGCATGGGGAGGTTCATCTCATTCCTGAGTTTCAGTGACATAAAGTGTCAGGAAGAAGGTTTATGTATTCTGCACCAGCCTACCTGGCCCCCCAACTTGCTCCTCTGACCTGCTCTAGTTCTGAACTGTCTCATATTTAGATTATGCATGAACTGCCTGTATAATGATATCAGTGGGTACATCACTTGAATTTTACTGATGTTCCATATGTAAGTATTCAGAGTTCGGCAGAAGTAAGGCCTGCTTGAGTGTGGTGGTAGGGTAATAATGGTGTAGTAATTTATAGTTTTAATTTAAATATTTTACCTAAAATGTCATATGGTGTACTTGACTGTGATATTGTTATGTTACAGAATTACATGCTTATGATTTTAATAATAAAAAGGGGCATATTTTGTGCTAAACCCTGTATATATGTATGTATGTGCATATTTATAATACATATTTGTATTTGAGAGAATTGTGGTCTTGTGACTGGATCTCAGTTTAATTTGCTTATTACAGACAGTTTCCTCTGTGTGTGTGCATGTGTGCATGCACTATTTCTATAAAGTACTGGTAAGAAAAATCCTGAGAAGACCATGGAAGACCGATATGGGTGTTCTCATACCAGAAGAGAAGTTGATGACCATGTTTGTGGGGAGTAAAGTATAAAAAAAATCCTGATCCAAGGCCATGGTGTGGCAGCTCTAGAGTGGAAGAGGCCCACTATCCCAGGGGCAGGGCAAAGAAGTATCTGGGAGCTGGGCAGTGAAGTAGGACCCGCCAGCCTCAGCTTCTTCCATCATTTGGAGCTCCATGCCCCCATGGTTCTGCTATTTACCTCAGAGTACCTGCCTCATCATCCTTCTCCCCATCCTCCTTCATAAACAGAACTCCTGCTAGAGGTTAGGGACCCACCATCAGTTATGTACAGATGGAGGATTTCTTGTTCCCAAGGCAGGAAAGGTCAGATGTGTGTGTCCAGTTATTCAGAACTTTGACTGCACTTTCCTCAAGAATCATTATTCCTTACATGGACCAGAGTCCATAGAATTCTTAGTACACTTGGGCTCTTATTTTTTGTATTCTGTCTTGAATACTAAGCACTACATCTAACATTGTTTGGGGGGAATAAAATAACTCCCGAACTGTAACAGCCAACTTACAAACAAATTTTGATACCGTTGACTAAAGCAACTGAAATTTAAGTTGGTGTTGTCATCATTTAATCATTTAAGTGATATGATTCACTGAATATATTCATTTCAAAGAATATTATCAAGAGAATGTGAAAAATCATTGTCTCAGAGAAAGATAAACCTCGGAATAGCCATGTGTAAAAACCACCAATTTACTGCACATCATAAACAACCTCTAATTTTCTTGTTTTAGAATTCATCTCTCTCAAGGCCTTGGAAACATCTTTGTATTTTGGTAAACAAAACTTGCTGAACTGCTGAAATTGTAAAAATAAATTGAGAGTGCACCTGCCAGTCTGTTAGAATTAGGCCTTTTAGAATGTGTGGCCTGCCCTCTCTTATCCCCAGGCAGTTTTTTCTCTGCATTGCTGGACTGGTTTGGTGAGGTATTTAGTTTCATTTTTTCCTATTTCATACTGCCAAGGACTTCTGTGCCCAAGTCTCTATTCTAGCAACAAATTCTATTAAATGGTGTTTCTGTATGTGGTTTGGACTGGAGAGCTATCAAATGCTGCTGTTGTGTGCATGAACTATAGGAAACATTGTACTATATTCAGTTGCAGTTCTTCACTTTCCCTAAACCAAGGGAACAGAGTTAAGGCTCTGTTCTTAGCTACTATTTAGGAACTATATAGGAGCTCCCTGCCTAAGAAATAAGAATAGAAATATGTGTTTATCTTTTAAATTTATATTACTTGACAATTTCTGATGTCTGTGCTTTGTATTTGTAACTCCTCTGCCTGGAGGGAACCTTTCACCTCCCTCCCCCTAAACTCATATGCACCCTTAAAGGCCCTATCAGCTATATCCAGATGCCAACTCCTTGAGGCAGTGGCTGAGAGTCTTTCTTCCATCAGTCAGACCTGTTTGCTCATATACTCATTAGGGTGGAGCTTGACTGCTTGGGTTCAAATCCCATCTTCTTTTACTAACTTATGATTATCCTGAACAAGGTATTTAAACTCTTTATATCTCAATTTTTCACCTTTAAAATGAGGCTAATAATAAACCCTACCCCATTTTATTTTTTCAAAAATATATTTTACTGATTATGCTATTATAGTTGTCCCATTTTGTTCTCCCCTTTATTCCCCTCTGCTCTGTGACCTGCCTCCTACCATCATTCCCCCACCTTAGTTCATGTCCATGGGTCATACATACAAGTTCTTTGGCTTCTCCGTTTCCCATACTATTCTTCACTTCTCCCTGTCTATTTGTACCTACCCTTTATGCTTCTTATTCCTTCTGCCTTTCACCACATTCTCCCCCATTCTCTTCTTCACTGATAATGTTCCATGCAATCTCCATTTACATGATTCTATTCCTGTTCTAGTTATTTGCTTAGTTTATTTTTGTTTTTCTTTTTTTAGGTTTGGTTGTTGATAGTTGTGAGTTTGTTGTCATTTTACTGTTCATAGCTTTGATCTTTTTTCTAGATAAATCCTTTTAACATTTCATATAATAAGGGCTTGGTGATGATGAACTCCTTGAACTTGACTTTATCTGGGAAGCACTTCATCTGCCCTTCCATTCCAAATGATAGCTTTGCTGGATAAAGTAATCTTGGATGTAGGTCCTTGCCCTTCATGACTTTGAATACTTCTTTCCATCCCCTTTTTGCCTGTAATGTTTCTGTTGAGAAATCAGCTGCCAGTCTTATGGGAACTCCTTTGTAGGTAACTGTCTCCTTTTCTCTGGCTGCTTTTAAGATTCTCTCCTCTTTAATCTTGGGTAATAATGCAATTATGATGTGCCTTGGTGTGTGCTTCCATGGGTCCAACATCTTTGTGACTCTCTGAGCTTCCTGGACTTCCTGGAAGTCTGTTTCCTTTGCCAGATTAGGGAAGTTCTCCTTCATTATGTTTTCAAATAAGTTTTCCATTTCTTCCTCTTCCTCTTCTCATTCTGGCACCCCTATGATTCAGGTGTTGGAATGTTCAAAGTTGTCACAGAGTTTCCTAAGCCTAAACCCTACCACATTTTCTGAGAATGAAAAATAGTTGATATAACTGAAGCGTTTGAAACAATTCTTAGCACATACAATGAGCTTGACACAAGAATGATTAGTAAAATTGACATCCATTTGCCACCCACTGTTGGCTTCTTGGCACAGGGGCCTTATCTCATTCCCAGTACCTAGCATAGCACCTTGGCATGTCGTGGGTTCTCATTAAGTGTTTGCTTACTGAATGTTGGACTGAGTTTATTTTATAAGTACAATTAGTTGTTAGTGTTTCACATGCCTCACCCATTCATATTTTATTTTTATTTTTCTAGTTTGGTTAGAATATTCCTTCTTAACCAATGGGCAACAGATGTTTTTATAATTGCTTGTAGAAAGGCAGGTATCAGCATTTTTATTAACTAACCTGATTCTCAATTGCTACCTTGTGCTCTTTAAGAAATGAAGCAACCAGGTCTTCATGCAGCTGGAAGACATCAGGCTGGCCATGGTGACACAGGATTGAAAGAGACCCAGCTCCTCATAACTGCTTTAAAACTTTGCTCCAAAACTCTGCTGTGAATACATCAAGGCTGAGTGACCCTAGAAGTACCCCCTTTCCCACATGTGATCCCTTCTTCAATGGGTGCCCCAAGAGAATGAAGTCTCCTTGCTCACTCACATTTGCCACACAGATGAGCAGGATGCATGGGTAGAAGTCATTACAGTTGTCCTTTGGGAACATTGTTCTCTGAAACATTTTTTTCCCTTGGGGATTGAATTTCCTGGGTGGTGGTGGTGTTTTTTTTTAAATCAAAGGCAAAATCATCTTTGTAAATGCAAATTCCCTAAACATTTCTGGCACAGATAATCAAACCATACTCTTCATGGTTGCCTCTATGGCAATTGGTATATATAGCCTTTAAAAAATTATTTAAGGGTTTAACCTTTCAAAAGGCCTCAGGAGTGAGCATCAGAATTTTCTACTCTGTAGCTAGTTTTACCACTACCTTTGCTGTTGAATTTGGGCAATCTTTTTAGCTATTTCCTGTGCAGAGTTGAAAGTTCAAAAACAGTATTTAGAGTAAATTTTTATATGGCGTTTTATCATCTTTATGTGGGTAAAACTGTGCAAATAAGCCTTACTCTGTGGTTTATGATATATGTAGCTTACTCTTTGAACCAGAGGTTATAAAACCAGCTGACTCTTGAGGATTTGAAAGGGTTAATTATATCCCTCCACTCCCCTGAAATTATTATCACCCCATAAGGTCCCTGAGAAGGTTTTATGTGTCCTGTCCTTATGACCCTGCTGGTAAACAAACTGGTTCCTACTGACATTTTGGGGATGAAGCAGATGGTTTTCTCTCCAAGTGTTTATTCAGTTTGTGTGTTTTCACTAGCACGGTCATTCTAGGAAGAGCCAAGAAGAACAGAGGAAGTAAAACCAAGCTACCTTTTGCTTCTTTTGAGCAGACCAAGTGAGAATGGTTGAGAAAGGTGCTCATGGGTGACAAGCAGACTACTAGTCTTTGTTGAGGAGTGAGTAGGAGTAGCCTGGGTGCAGGTGTGTAGAAAGTGATGGGGCCTTTATGAGGGCTGACCACAGTATTCACTGCGGCAGAAAGACCTCAGTGTAAACAGTGGTCATACCAGGAAACAATCATTTTGTATGTTTTTTTGGTGTCGTGTCTTGTCATCACTTTACCCAGATGCTTTATAGCTTCTAACTGCTTGAGGGTAAACTATGGACTTCTGAGTTGGAGAGGCTGGGAGAGACCAGTGATCCCTCATTGGGGGTCTGCTATAGACTACTCAGCTTTCTGAGCTG